AGGGACTAGAACAGGACCAGACCAGGACTGGACCAGGACTAGACTAGGACTAGACCTGGACTAGACCAGGACTAAACCAGGGACTAGACCAGGACTAGACCAGGACTAGACCAGGACTAAACCAGGGACTAGACCAGGACCAGACCAGGACTAGACCAGGACTAAACCTGGGACTTAACCAGGACTAAACCAGGTACTGGATCGGCTACTAAATCAGGGATTAAACCTAGACTAAGACAGACCAGACCAGGACTAGACCAGGGACTAAACCAAGGACTAAATTAAGACTACACCAGGACTAAACCAGGGAATAAACCAAGGACTAAACCTGGTACTAGATCAGTCATTAAATCAGGGACTAGATCAAGACTAGACCAGGACTAAACCAGGGCTAGATCAGGGACTAAACCAGGACTAGACCAGGACTAAACCAGGACTGAAACAGGTACTAGACCAGTTACTAAATCAGGGACTAATTTAAGGACTAAACCTAGACTAAGACAGGACTAGACCAGGACTAGACCAGGATTATTTAGGTACAATAATAATAATAATAAATGAGCGCACCATTGTGATTACTTTACGTATTCAAATCCAGCCGGGCGGAGACAGACAAGCAAATCGTGTAGAAACTTTCAGGTTTTGCCCATTTGAAATCAGACCAGTGCCACATTAACACAGGAAGAACATGCAAAACTGTGGCTGTAGGTTCAACATTTTGCACCGAGACGAACAAAAGTAAAAGTTTAGGGTCGTCCCGGGGTCTTGTGTAATCGCTGGACGGAAAACCAGTTCAGGGAGATGGTTTAAATGATGATCCATGTTCTCAAGTATTTGTTTTTGTCGGAGTAACTAAAACGAAATAGTCACAAATGTTTTAACGACATTTACAAAACCACCAAAAATCTAAATTAATATAAATACTATGACAAAGTATTGAAAAGTAAGTATAAGTATAGTCAAATATGGACAAGTTAACAATAATATTAACGGTTGGCGGTTAATATTTGGGGGTAATCGTGCATAATAAAGTCAGATTTGATCTTAAAGGTGCATTGGGTAACTTTTTGGTTGAGGGTCCGTCACCTGCTTGTCTGGAATGTTCCACAGTGTGACTTTAAACATCTCTACTTTACATTTATTCTATTTACAAGTGGTTTTAAAGACTAAACCAGGGACTAAACCAGGACTAAACCAGGACTAGACCAGGACTAAACCAGGACTAGACCAGGACTAGACCAGGGACTAAACCAGGACTAAACCAGGGACTAAACCAGGACTAGACCAGGACTAAACCAGGACTAGACCAGGACTAGACCAGGGACTAAACCAGGACTAAACCAGGACTAAACCAGGACTAGACCAGGACTAGACCAGGACTAAACCAGGTACTAAATCAAGGACTAAACCTAGAGTAAGACAGGACTAGACCAGGACTAAACCAGGGACTAAACCAGGACTAAACCAGGACTAAACCAGGACTAGACCAGGACTAAACCAGGACTAAACCAGGACTAAACCAGGACTAGACCAGGACTAGACCAGGACTAAACCAGGTACTAAATCAAGGACTAAACCTAGAGTAAGACAGGACTAGACCAGGACTAAACCAGGGACTAAACCAGGGACTAAACCAGGACTAAACCAGGACTAAACCAGGACTAAACCAGGACTAAACCAAGGACTAAACCAGGACTGAACCATGTACTAGACCAATGACTAAATTAGGGGCTAATTTAGGGACTAAACCTAGACTAAGACAGGACCAGACCAGGACTAGACCAGGGACTAAACCAAGGACTAAACCAGGACTAAACCTGGCACTAGACCAGTTATAAAATCAGGGACTAAATCTAGACTAAAACAGGACTAGATCAAGACTAGACCAGACCAGGGCTAGACCAGGACCAGACCAGGACTAGACCAGGGCTAAACCAGAACTAAACCAGGACTGAACCAGGTACTAGACCAGTTACTAATTCAGGGACTAAATTAGGGACTAAACTGTATATATAATTATATATACTATATAACTACAGGAAACTGCAAACATGCCTGATTTGCACTAAAGTCGCCAAAAAGTTACCATAGGAACAGTAGATAATGATATTAAAACACCAGACATGTTAAGCGGCAAAAAAAAAAGGCCCTTACAATATATCAAATTACAAGTCTCTTTGCTTAAATGAATAGTTATGGTGATTTGAATGCCGTTCTTATTCTGTAAATCACTGTGTATGAATTGTACTATACAAATTAACTTGTCATGCCAGGGCGCAGCAATAGCTAAAAAAAACAATAGATGGAACATAGACCACGATCCTTTGGTGTTGTCAGTGCAGACTACAAACCCAAAACATGCTCCACGTCTCCATAAACAGTTGATAGTCAAGGTCAATTTAAATACAATCAATTCAATCATTGTGTCCTTAGGCAAGACACTTCACCCACACTGCCTAGTATGAAAGTGGTGTGTGTGTGATGGTGGTGGTCGGAGGGACCGATTGCGCCGAGTGGCATGGCAGCCGCGCTTCTGTCAGTGTGCCCCAGGGCAGCTGTGGCTACAATAGTAGTTTACCATCACCAGGGTATAGAGTGAATGAATAATGCTGAATAATGCTCTGTAAAGCGTCTTTGGGGACAGAAAATGTCTGTGAAAGCGCTATATAAATAAAGACTTACTTACTTACTTACATGAAGAACTAACTGTTATTAAGCACTTTTAAATCTTAATTCTTCTTATTATAATAGTAAGTCTTTTAAAAGGAAAAAGTAGCTTATTCACAACTTTGTAAGCCTCCAGAAAATATAGCAATATTGGAAAATATCGTACCAAGGGATTTTGATATCGTTACATCCCTGTTAAATACACAAAATACTTGACATTTTAAAAAAGAAAATCACAACTTTGCTTTTATCTTGTAGGGTATAAGTGTGTATCATAGCAGTAATAAACACATCTATGTAAACACTGCAGCCAGACAAAGAAATTACTCACATCTAACTTCCTGTTGTTTTGTTGCCATGGAAACTCAGTGTACGTTGAATCAGAAGTAGCAAAACAAGCACATTTTTCAATCTTAAAAATCTCTGTCCCTGATTTTTTACATCTTAAAAAAATCAAAAACAGAACTACTTCATTTTAAAACATTTTGCAGTGGCCCAAAGTTCTTCTTCTCTTACCTTATGCATCTAGAGCACGTGTGTCAAGACCAAAGCCCACCAAGCTGTTTTAAGTGGCCCACGAGGGGTTAAAAGCTATAAATTATTATTATTTTGTGACTCTGTGCCGCTACTACATCTCCCACAATGCACCGCAACTGTTTCTCGTGATGTGACTGCATCTCGCCACTAGAGAGGCCGAGAAAACTCATCAGATTTCCCCAAAAATGTCCAAGAAAAACTGATGCAGAAGGACGGCTATTTCACGAACGTTACTGAAGGAGTCATGTGAATGTTTTAACTTAAACCTTTAAATCAAATCAAATCCACTTTATTTCGATCGCACATTTCATAAACAAAACAGTTTCCCAGGTGCTGCAAAATACAGATAAAACATAAATAGAAATAGAAAAGTAAAGCTCTTAACTAGAGCCCGACCGATATGGATTTTGTTGTGGCCGATATGAAACCGATATAATGGGAGTTGGAGCTGCCGATAGCCGATATAATCACCGATATATTTAGTGATGTAAAAATTCACTGTAAATCTTGAATTGATTAAAAAACTTAGGTTTGGCTCTAGTGGATTCTAAATTGGGTTTATTTAGGCAACATTTATTGTTATTCTGACTCTTTACATCATATTTACAGACAGAAGTTTGGCCTAATGGCATTTTTGCATCACATTCTAGCTACTAGTGATGGGTATTCCAGTTTTTTTTTGTTTTTTTTTGGAGAACCGGCTCTTTTGGCTCGGCTCACTAAAGCAGCTGGCTCTTTCGGCTCCAAGCGACTCTTGACATTGTTTTGTTGCAAGCAGGACTAAACCAGAACTGAGTGTCGGGACTCGGTTTCTATCTCTCTCCTGCACTCGAGCCCAAGATTAGTCCTGGTTTATTCATTTTTTATGCTGAACTGCAGGCAAATATGCACTTTTTTTTATCCTATGCACACGCAGATTTCTGAAAGTTTCGTTTTCAGTCGCTGCTGCTGTCAAACTACGGGTCTACATGCGGCATGAAGAGAAAAAGTGAGAAAAAGAAAAAACACGGCTCCCAATAAGAAGCAGGCTCCTGTTCGCTCTAAGAGCCGCTTCGATCGCGACCGACCCATAACTCCTAGCTAGTAAACGATCGCTATTAGCCTTTAGCTGTAAATGCTGCGCACCGCGGTAATTAATTATATGCATAAATGTGGATCATTCACACGTCTATTCACAGCTCATTTACATATCAATGCTGGTCCAGTAACAAATATATGGCCAATACAGTCACTTTACAATAGACCAATAGAAAACAGCCTGTTTATGTGCGGGAGCTACAGCAGCTAACCGCTAACAAAACCTAAACTAGCTTCAAAGTCGATGTATTTTCCAACACTCACCGCTCACACAGGCTCCTGCTCACATCACAAGTCTGCACTAATAAATGTCCTTTTAATCCAGACTCAAACCGATTGTCCGAAAAAGACAAAAAAACAAAGTAAATAAATATGAAATGAAAAATCAAATACAGACTTTTACAGTTTTGTAACGCACCGATATTACAATTACAGTTGAGGTCTTAACTTTACAACCGGCCCTTTGATGACAAACGTGACATTTTCGTGACTTTCAGCACAAGCTAGTATGCTAACAGCGCACTCCCTGACTCTCTAAATCAGTAAAACGTTTTTAATTACATGTAGACAGAACGCAGGAGACTTATTTTGACCACAAGAACTGTTTATATACATGACAATTTATCTGTACTGGGGCAAGACACATTTTACTCAAATAAATGGAGAAAAAACAGCTACACAATCTATAATTAATATTCATTTCTCTTATTTTTCCACAGGTTTTGACCTTGCGGATGCGTTGGACGACGGTAAGCAGACGTATAGGAATTATGTGTTTGAAATAGCCATGAAATGACATTAAAATACCTGAGATGTTGGGTGATTGAGTGCACTTCACACTTGACTCTTGTTTTGTGTGGTCGGACAATAGAGCTCGACAGTTGTTAGAAATCAAACTGAAACGGCAATTTGAATCGGCAATTTCTCGTCTCCACCTCTACAAACGTGTTCTGAAATACACGGGGTTTTGGGATTAGTTCAGCAGTTCATAAATCTGCATTGAAAGTCCTGGTTTAGTTCGGTTAGTCCTCTTTTAGACCTGGTTTAGACCTGGGTAAATTAGACCTAGTTTAGTCCTGTCTTAGATGTGGTCTAGTCCTTGTTAAGTCCTGGTTTAGTCCTGATTTAGTTAGTCCTAGTTATGTCCTGGTTCAATTTTGGTCTAGTCCTGGTTTAGTCTTGATTAAGTCTTGGTTTAGTCCCTGGTTTAGCTCTGGTTTAGTCCTGATATGGTCTTGGGTTAGTCCTGAATTAATTCTGATTTAGTCCTGGTTTAGACCTGGTTTAGTCCTGGTTTAGCTCTGGTTTATTCCTGGTTTAGTTCTTGGTTTAGTCCTGGTTTAGCTCTTGTTTAGTCCTGGTTAAGTCCAGGTTTAGCTCAGGTTTAGTCCTGTTTAAGCTCTGGTTTAGTTCTTGGTTTATTCTCGGTTTAGCTCTGGTTTAGTCCTGGTTTAGTCTGGTTTAGTTTTTGGTTTAGTCCCTGGTTTTGTCCCTTGTTTAGTCCTGGTTTTGTCCCTTGTTTAGTCCTGGTTTAGTTCTCGCTTTAGTCCTGGTTTACTCCCTGGTTTACTGTTATATAAAGCTTGAACAGCACTTTTTTTTTTTTTTCAGGACCCAAACCAACAACAAAACCACCTCCAAAAAAGGGTGAGTCATTTTGAATCGTTTAAGATTCTCTCAAAAGTCATCGAAAATAAATTAATGTTAATAAATGTATTTTTTCCCTTTTTAGATGGCGAGCTTGATCTGTTAGATGCATTTGGAGGTAAAACTTTTGAATTTTAGTAATAATTATTTAATCTATAGTTAAAGGCTCCATATTAAACTATTTTCTGATCTATGTTATAATGTAGTTTTCTTGTCAAAAACAGACCTGGAGTTGCGTTTTGATTCATTCACACACGTTTAAAACACAAACCCTGCACATTTAGACTGATGTTCACAATCTAGAATTTCATTAAAGTCATATTTTCAGATGTTGTGCAGGTCTAACTGTGTAATTCTGTGGGAGATTCAGTGCTTTTGAAAGAAATCTCTAAACTTATGATCCACAAATGTTGAATCGTATTGTAATTTTTTTGGGACGCCCCCACAAACTTGTCATATTATATTAACCTTAAAGGTTGTATAGAGGATTTTCCAAGAAACGAGAAATCCAGCGACTGTTTGTCCTTTTTCAAATGTTGCGCATGCGTGAAACCCCCCCCCCTCCCCTACAGCTCCTACGTAGAAACACCTCCTCCTCTTTACGCCAGAAACAGGTTTGTTTACAGCCGGTGCACATGACTTGTAAACAACTAACTACAGTGTTGGTTAGACAAGACGGAGAAGTGAGGAGTGGGGGGAGCGGGTGTGCGGACATTTCGTTCGCGGACGAGAAGTGAGGAGCAGGGAGAAGAGCGGAGCAGGGAGAGAGGAGAGGGAAGCGGTGCACGGAGATTCTGTGCCCGGAGAAGTGAGGAGCAGGGGGAAGAGCGGAACGGGCAGCGGGGGACAGGAGCAGGAAAGGGGAGCAGAGAAGGTTGCGCGGAGATTCCGTGCGAATGAACTACTACAACACGCAGCAGCAAGTGGACTCTTTCTTTGCCTTGAAAATTACGTTTTCAGACATAGGATATCGCTTTTGTGTCCTGAAAAACGTTTGTGTAGCTCTTGGAAATAAAGTATGTTTTCATAATAAGCAGAAGTTTCCTGTCCAGGAGTAATTTGTGGACCAGTGCGTCAGTCTTTAGACCCTGCGTCTGCTTCAGTCGCCCCATCGCTGGAATGAATCTTCAAGAATCACCTTAGTTTGGCTTCGCTGCTTTTCCCCTTGTCTTCTTCTTTCAGCGACCTCAAAAACGGACTTTCTTTTGCGGCGAACTGCTCCTGGATTCTTGTCGCCATTGCAACAAACTTTGTGCGAACTGCGAGGAAGATATAGGTCAAAAAAAGCCGCTAAGAACTGTTGCGTTGGTGGAGTAAACAGCGTCTGTGCGTCTTGCGTCTGTGGACTGTGTGACAGTCGTACGTAAACCACGTACCGGCGGCGCAGGCAAGTCAGTTACACTAGAAACGTAGGGAGTTTGATTGACAGCCTGTCAGCTCACAGATAACGAGGCAGTGTCGTTATCTATTGGCAAATGTTTAGCCCCACCACGTCCAGAGTTGATGAATTTTTATTCTCTTTTTTTTGGTCATCATAATTACAAGGCTACTGCACCTTTATAATCTATCATTGACAACTTGAAACAAAAAAAAAATCATCCATACAACCTTTAAAGGTTAGGTGACTCATTTTACTAAAACGCACTTAAGATCATTCTATTTAAGACATTTTCTTCCCTAGTTTGACCATTTATTATAGGTTTAAAATTGTAAAAACCTATCAACCATTTAGTAGACTAGGCCAAAACTTTATTTACTTAATTATACACAGAAATTATTATTTGACAAATAAAAAAGTAAGAAAACACATTTATTTGATGACATAATGTTTAAATTGTCAGAAAAAATTAGTTTCTGTGAAACTCTCTAACTTCGTGTAATTTTCAACATATTTTTAAACTTTTTGTCACAATTTTTTTCTTGATTGGTGTAAAACAACAGGTATTATCCTACCAAATTAAGTCAAAATTAGAGAATGATCAAAACCTGTCAGCAATCTTTGGAGTTGAATAATAGCACCACTTTCTGAAGCTGTTGTAAAAATATTTTCACTTTTATTTATTTATACTGACAGAGAAGACCCTGAACTTTGTGCCAGTTTTTGTTTCATGTGGATAAGTCCAGGAATTACAGAAATATGAACCATAAACCAGCTCAACAAATCTGAAATCTGACAGCGAAACGTCAAACTGTTCTAAATTCTAATATTGTTTTTTTTTTTTTTTTTTACAGATGATGATCCAGTGGCTCCCAAACCTCCCGTCGTTGCCCCGCCCAGTAGTGGAGGAGGTAAGTTGGACAGTTATGAACAGTTATCGATCCTTTGCGGCGGTTCTTCACGCTGAGAGTGTTCTGCATGAGTGTCTATGGTGGAATGTTCAGCGCGGTGACACAACGCACGCATTGGGGGAAAAAAAAAAAGGATTTAAACTGCACTTTCTCAGGAACCTGTGACCAATATGAGTCCACGGTCTTGTTTAGGTGTTTGATTTTCAACAAAAAGCTGAGAGTGACTGAAAAACTGTCGGCTAATGCTCGATACGTTGCTTTACATTGCTCATCACAACTATAATCTCCAAAAATAAAATAAAAAATAAAAAATCAATCATTCTGAAAAGGTGCGGGGAGAATCAACACTTATCTACCCCCACTCCCTTTTACATCTAAAACACTTATGATGTCCGTGCACTAAATGGAGGGAAAATGTGCTAAAACGTGCATATACATGTCTTTTTTTGTTTGTTTATTGTATTTAGATGATTCTTACATAAGTATTACATTTACATTTTTTTCACTTTATTTTGTTTGTCTATTTTATTTTATGTTATTTAAAATTTTGTTTTGTTTTATTTTATTTTATGTTGTTATTTTATGTATTTTATTTTATTTTATGTTTTTTTATTTTATGTTATTTTATTAAATTTTTTGTTATGTTATTTTGTTTTTTATTTTATTTTATGTATTTTATTATTTTATGTTATGTTTTTTTATGTTATTTTATGTTTTTTATGTTTTTTTTTATTTTATGTTATCTTATATTTTTTTATTTTATTTTATGTTATGTTTTTTTTTTTATTTATTTTTTATGTTATTTTATGTTATGTTTTTTTATTTTATTTATTTTTTTATGTTATTTTATTTTATGTTACGTTATTTTATTTTATTTTAGAGAAAATATTCAGCATTAACATTTACATAATCTTCTAAGTATTTGGATATTTACATTCCAGGTCACATCTCACCCTCCTCCAAACGCAGACTGTTAAATGTGTTACTATCGTGTTTATAAATATTTAAAACAAATTTTGTGCTGAAGGTGGAGGAGGAACTCTGTCGGACTCGGACTTGGCTGACGTCGGCGGAGGCAGTTATGAGCCAGAGGGCGGGAAATACGGAGGTAAGGACTTAAAGGTGCACTGTGTAACTTTCTGGTTGCGGGATCCGTCACCTGCTTGTTTCTATGGATACGGCATTGACATTAAGCAGCTCTACTTCACATTTATTCAATTGTAAGTGGTTTTACAGCTCAAAAATAGCTAAAAAAAACAAACATTCTGACTGTGAGCAGGGTTAATTCGGCTTTAAAATCGGAATAAACCACCCACTTAATTCGGATTTAAGTTTAACTCCGAATAATCATTAGGAATCAAGTGTTTACATGGTCTTTTTAAAGCGGAATTAATTTTTATTCTGAATGAAATTATTTTTAATCGGAATTAAAGCTCTCATGTAAACGGGGCAATTGTGCTTAACCAATAAATTTTCTAAAAGACTACCAGGTGGCTCGCCTCTCCACAGACCTGTACCTGTAACTTAGCCTTTGTGGAGCCACTTGCTTGTCTCCGTGATAGATCAGTTTAATGCCGTACTGTGGGACATTCCGGGCGACGCAGAGCCGAGCAGGTGTCAGACTGCAGATAGTTTTTGCAGTCGTCGTTGTCGTTGTTTTGGTCTAAAGGTATTAATAAGATAAAATATGTCTTTATTAGTCCCACAGTGGGTAAATTCCAGTGTTGCAACGTGCAATTTAAGAACAGCAGGAAAAAGGTAACATGCAATAAAACCAGTGTTGGGGAGTAACAGATTACATGTACCAGAGTTACGTAATCAGAGTACAAATTATGAGTAACTGTATTCAGTTACAGTTACTGTTTCAGTGAGTGGTAATTGGATTACAGTTACTTTGTTGAAATAAATGGATTACATGGCGGTATTTTCCTGTTTTACATCTTGGGCTATATCCTTTTTTTTTTTTTTTTTCCCCCCCGGTAATTCCACTCATTCCTGGAAACTAAACCAAGTCTAAACTAGATCTAAACTAGATCTAAACCAGGTCTAAACCAGGTCTAAAGCAATGACTAAACCAGGTCTAAAACAGGACTAAAACAAGACTAAATGCAGGTCTAAACTAGATCTAAACCAGGTCTAAAGCAATGACTAAACCAGGACTAAAACAGGATTCAACAAGACTAAACCATGCTGGGCGGACGTGCCTCCTCCTCTTCTATCAATACTATTTTTAATACAGTCAACTAAAGTCTGGGCTTTTTATTTTCTTTTATCAGACAAAATATCTTATGTGTAGATTTCCTCGTCTTTGCTTCTTTACAACAAATCAAGTAATCCAAAGTATTCAGATTACGTTACTCACTTTAAGTAATTTAATAGAGTATGTTACAAACTACATTTTGAGGTATGTAATCTGTAATCTTTAGGGGAATACATTTTAAAAGTCACCTTCCCAACACACTGAATAAAACAGATAATTGATAATTGCTTAAAAATAATTTAAAAACAGACTTAAAAGTAATTGCACATAGATATAGTTAAATGACACATGTTCAGCGTTAACAGTGTTTGTTGTACCGTCTGACAGCAGCAGGAAGGACAGACCTGCGAAACCTCTTATTCACACTTAAGACTTAATAATCTCGTTGCCGCGGCGACCGCTGACTCAGGCTTTCGGCGTCTCCCTTAAAAACACGGCCAATAAAACGAAACCTGCCGGGTCGCATTTCTGACTCTAAATTAGTGTTCGTTTGACAGACGTTGGACGTACAGCTGTTGGAATAAAAGTCTGACATAAAACGACACACTTCGATCACACTTCTATTTATACTGGTTTCATCGTCTAAACACTTCCTCATTTCGTTTTGAGTTTGTGCAGTTTTCGAGTGATAAGTTCCACATTAGTACAATTTATTTGACTGAAAATACAGAACGCTGCACTAAAACGGCAATATTTTATTAATTAAATCTGTTCTAAACTTTATAAAGGGCTGCAAAAACAAAAGGGTGTGTTAAATCTAAATGCCAAGAGGAGCTGAATATTGTTTTGGGGTGACTAGCTCCAAAAGGTGGAAGGAATTTGGGTGGAAGTGTTTTATTCGATTCTTTTATTACTCCTCAAATTACTGCCAGAGTAGAAGGCGTTTGACTGTCGTCGTTGGAGACAGTGTGGCCACTCAAACTCCAATCACTCTCATATTCTTTTGGACATTTTTGTACAAAATTTAAATCATTCTGGGACAATGATACGATCTTGACTTACATGACTCGAAGATATTTTTGTTCGGCCTTCTGCTGGAGTGGTGATTGAGAAATATATTGAATGGTACGACTGACTTTTTTTCTACGACTCAAAGGACATTTCTTCGTTAAACGCTGGACAAAACGGTTAAAATAGAAACAAAAAGAGATTCGATCCACCCTTCTCCATCCTTATTGCGTTGGAAAAGCTTTGTGTTGGCTGTATTTGTCTTGAAAAACTGAATAAATAAAAAGTGTATTTAAAAAAAAAAGGGCAATATTTTAACTTAAGTAAAAGCGGTTTGCTGTGGCAGAAACTATTGATTCTTCATGTATGTCTATTGGCAGAATGTCCAGCTGTTACCGTGGTGACACATTGGCAAACACTAAATAACTACAAAAAGCGATCACATTTCTCAATACGCCCAGTTTTATATTAAGTCCAAAAGTCGTGACGGTAAAAGACAAAGAGAGTAACTGTGTTGAAAGTATTTGATGAAACCGAAACGAATCAGAGTCTCGTGGTTTAACTTCATCAAATAGAAATGTTTTATTTTAATGTTGTTTATTTTTTTCTGTTTTTCCCAAACGCAGGTTCTGATCCCGGCTACGATCCCAACAGTAAGCACTTTTTAAATAATACAAAAATAAACTCTTTTTAATCATCTGTATCTAAATAATTGCTCAGTAACTAATTTTAGCTGCCAATGTTATTTTCCTATTCCCTCTGTTCTCCTCTCCTCAACTTTTGTTTCTTCTGTCCTCCTCTCCTCCAGTCTCTTCTCTCTCTCCTCTTCTCCACTTTCTTCTTTCTCCTCCCTCTCCTCTTCTCCCATCTCTTCTCTTTCTCCCATGTCTTGTCTCTCTACTCCCTTTCCTCTTCTGCTGTCTATTCTCTCTTCTCTTCTCTCTCTTCTCCCTCTCCTCCTTTTCTCCAATTTCTTCTCCCTCTCCTGCTCTTCTCCCATCTCTTCTCTCTCTCCTCCCTCTCCTCTCCTCCTGTCTCTTCTCTCTCTCCTCCTGTCTCTTCTCTCTCTTCTCCTCCTCCTCTCTCTTCTCTCTCTTCTCTCTCTCCTCCCTCTCCTCTCTCTTCTCTCTCTTCTCTCTCTCCTCCCTCTCCTCTCCTCCTGTCTCTTCTCTCTCTCCTCCTGTCTCTTCTCTCTCTTCTCTCTCTCTCCTGTCTCTTCTCTCTCTCTCTCTTCTCCTCTCTCTTCTCTTCTCTCTTTCTCCCTCCCTCTCCTCTCTTCTCTGTCTTCTCCTCCCATCTCTTCTCTCTCTCCTCTTCTCTCTCTCCTCGTCTCCTGTCTCTTCTCTCTTTTCCCTCTCCTTCTCTTCTCCTGTCTCTTCTCCCTCTCTTCTTCTCCAGTCTCTCTCTCTCTCTCCTCTTCTCCTCTCTTTCTTCTTTCTCTTCTCCTCTCCTCTTCTCTCTCTCTCCCTCTCCTCTCTGTCTTCTCTCTCTCTCCTCTCTCCTCTCTCCTCTCTTCTCTTCTCTCTCTTCTCCCTCTCTCTTCTCTCTCTCTCCTCCTTCTCCTCGTCTCCTGTCTCTTCTCTCTTTTCGCTCTCCTTCTCCTTGTCCTTCTCCCTCTCTCCTCTCTCTCCTCTCTCTCTCTCCTCCCCTCTTCCTCTCTCTCCTTTCTCTTCTCTCTCTCCTCTTCTCCTGTCTCTTCTCTCTCTCCTCCCTCTCCTCTTCTCCTGTCTCTTCTCTTCTCTCTCTCCTCCTGTCTCTTCTCTCTCTTCTCTATCTCCTCCTCTTCTCCTGTCTCTTCTTTCTCCTCCCTCTCCTCTTCTCTTGTGTCTTCTCCTCCCATCTCTTCTCTCTCTCCTCTTCTCTCTCTCCTCGTCTCCTGTCTCTTTTCCCTCTCCTTCTCTTCTCCTGTCTCTTCTCCCTCTCTTCTTCTCCAGTCTCTATTCTCTCTCTCCTCTTCTCCCGTTTCTTCTTTCTCTCCTCCCTCTCCTCTTCTCTCTCTCTTCCCTCTCCTCTTCTCTGTCTCTTCTCTCTCTCCTCCTTCTCCTCGTCTCCTGTCTCTTCTCTCTTTTCCCTCTCCTCTTCTCTCTCTCTCCTCCCTCTCCTCGTCTCCTGTCTCTTCTCTCTTTTCCCTCTCTTCTTCTCCAGTCTCTTCTCTCCCTCTCCTCTTCCCCCGTTTCTTCTCTCTCTCTTCCCTCTCCAGCTCTTCTCCCCTCTCTTCTCTCTCTCCACCTACCTCCCCTCCTTTCCCGTCTCTTCCCTCTCCTCCCTTTCCTCTTCTCCCGTTTCTTCTGTCCCTCCTCTCTCCCCTACTCCCCTCTCCTCTGTCCTGCGTCTCTTCTCTCTCTGTAACTCTTTCTGTTCTTTCTGTGTCCTTGAACAGAACACTTCACTTCACTTTTACGGTTTATTTCAAAATGATAAAACTTGAGTGAAAACAAAACAGAATTGTAATAAAATTGATCGGCAGGACGTGTCTTTAGTCCAACAAGAACCCAGCTCTAATTGTGACTTTGTGGCGGTTTAGATTAAATAATTTAGTTTCATATTTTGTCCATCTTTTATTGACTCTTTTGTTTATTTTCTTCCAGGTGCAGGAGACCAGCCTCAAGGTAAATCTCTTATAATTCTCTTTCCTGTGTCACGGGGGAGCACTTCCTGTCTTTGTCGCCGCTCTGTCCACTCTGGTTTTATGAGGTTTTCTGTTTTAAACGATGGACAAGTTGAAGTCGTTTCCGGTGTATTGTTCTGGACTGGTGGTTATTTTTGTTTGTTGGTTTGGAGTTGGCCTGCTGTTAAGTTTATTTATGTGACATTCCCCAGTGACTAAAAAATTGTAATTAGATTTGTGATTTTTGATTTAAAGATGGGGGTATCATACTAGAACGACTTTTTGGAGCTTTTTACTAAAGTTTTTACTTTGTCAAAAATGCACCTGAAGAGGGTTTAGAGTCATCCATGCATGTTTGAGTAATCTAGCGATCTCTTTCTTTATTCAAACTTTCTTTTTACGGTTCGCTGTAAGATTCAGTACGAGGCTCCGCCCACAAGCCTACGTCACAAACACTCCCAAGCGACAATTCTCCATAAATATAGGCGAGTTTCATTGTTGACATAAGCGTGCGTTGCATGCTGGGAATTATTTTGGTCGGTGGCAAGAAACACTAATTCAACATGACGGACGGAGCGAGAAAGCACGTAAAGGGTATTGATCCCGGTTATTTATCCACTCTAACGGCAGAGGACCCAAGACCATTTGACCAGAAATTGGTCATAAGCATCGACGGACGACAAATCACCCTTTTCAACCCCGACAAAAGGTGGACCAAACCAAATTTCTGGTCTGAATCGCCAACTACCTGGACAAATATTCACTTGGGCGATATCCACAATGACTTGGTGGAAACTCCTGGGCCATTCACAGCAGAAAAGATGAAAACCTCCAAGAGTCTCGATGTGTTGTTGAACTTGTTGGAGTCCACGGTTTGTTAGGATCTTCTACGTTTGCTCTGCGAATGTTTCAAAGCCATTTAATTCACCGTTAGCGGTTCTTTTTCACTCAGAATACGAAAAAGACATTTTCCTTCTTCCGTGCTTCTATTTGTGCATCCGATAATGCAGCAGGAATTTACCATTATCGGGGAGAAAATACCCAAGGTTACGCACTGTGGTTGACCACTATTGTGTTTCTTGCCTCCGACCAAAATATTTCCCAGCATGCAACACGGGCTTTTAATAACAATGACGTCAGCTGAAACTCACCTATACAAAAACATGATACGAAACTGTGCACTACGACTTCACAAACCTGACATGAAGTGCAGTAGTTTCATTAATGCAGTGCTTCTCGATTATTTTCCGTCACGCCCTTAAGAAGAAGAAAACATTTCGCGCCTTCCCAACCTCAGAACCATTACAAAACGTGGACAAATTGCACCCTCGCCTTCAGTCGCCGAATGTTTTAGTCGCTGTTTTAGTCCAAAACAACTCACCTGCGTCATGAGGCGTCCGCACCCGTGTCCTCCTCGTTTTTAAAGATCATGTCCGTGTTAAACTTCGGTAGTATCAGCTCCTCTGCTCTTTGTTTTACGCCACTTTATCTGATTCTAACGGAGCTCGCTGGTTTTCTGAAGCAGCATTCACAAAGCGGGACGATTGTTGCCGATATTTGGCACGTTTACGCTGAAAAAACTCAAGCGTCTTATCAGCGCGATCGGGTTGTAACGACGTAATTTGTTTGGCTTCCTGCTGCCCGCATTTTTAGACTACATACACTTTGTCAGATTTCCTCCTATTTTGCCTCCCCTGGCATCGAAATATTATTTGAGAAGGACTGCATTAATGGGATGCACGCCGATTGTATTGTGATAGCACTCTGAAGGGGGAGTGGCTTAGCATGAAGAGCAAAGGTTATGTTAATACGTTGGTTTGGGCGAATATATCATTTTTGGAAACAATAACATTTCGGACAAGATACCATTACCACAAAACGATACGAGACACGAGATTGTATCTACGAGAACGAGACAAGACGAGATTTTGACATTCTTTATAATAAATAAAAAAAGTGCAATCCAGATCGCAAATTGGGCTTTTTCATTTTTGATTTACTTTAATACTTCTGCTGTCATTGTAGCTCTGCTTTTTGGGACTACATCTTCTCAAAAAATGAAACTCGCCAGTGCTTAATTTCATTTTTTTAATCCAATCCAAACGTAAAAACATGGAAAAAAAATCTCACAAAATGCACAATCTCGTGGTAATTTTGTGGCGCGAGATCTTGTCCCATCTCTAATCGTGATCTAAATGTGTTAACACCCCACAGAATGACAATACCCCCTCTTTAAAAACCTTGATTTAGTTCTCGTTTCAAACCTGTCCGGGAGCGTTTACATTTGCGAGAAGACTGAAATCTGAACTTTAAACTAATCCAAGAATGTTTGTAGAGGTTTAAACTACAGCGCTCGCATCTTTTACTCAGAATAAGAGACACAGACGCACTGGTTTTAAATGATTTCTGGTTTGAGTCGAGATTTGAAATGAGTCGAATTCTTGGAGATGTGGTCGAGGACGTCAGGTTTGGATTGAGACGAGGCTTTTTTTGGTTTGTTGGTGTTGGTGGAAATATAAATGTTGGTTGTTTGTCCGAATTCAGTGAGTTGTTTTTGTTTTTTTTATGTTTTTGGGGCGTCCCGTTTCATTCATAAAAATTTCAGCCATAAAATTATGACCACTGACATCAGGTTTTGGAGGCATTATTAAGCCAAAGTAAATATTGTCCTCAAATTTGAAGTGTTAGAAGCTGAAAAATAAGAACTTCAGATCAAGATGAGGACTAAATCAGGACTAAATTGTAACATAAAATGGACTAAATTATTAATTCCAGACCCCACATGGTCTAAAGTAGGGGTAAACACGGATTAGACACGGTGGCAGAGTGGTTAGACGTCATTCTTAACAACAAAAAGGTTCCAGGTTCGACTCCCGGGCCTTTGCGTGTGTAGTTTGCATGTTCTCCCCGTGTCTGGGTGGTTTACTTCCTGTTTCCTGTTTATCGATGCAGTCTACTCGTGCAAAGATCAAACGTATGATATTTCCAGTGCATAAAGCCTCTAACATGAGCAAAACCCAGTGTATTACTTAAAAAAGTTAAAACGAAGTGTAGAAGTGCAATGGAGTGAAATAAAAGCAGCTTTAACCTCGTCTCAAAGCCCCACAAACTTGTAATTCCTGCGTCTATTTGTTAAACTGTTCAGATATGATTTAGGGTTTATGTCTTAAGAAAACTTTTATAGTGTTTGGGTGACGTCAGACTCTCAGAGCCCTGCCCATGGACCCGGGGCAGGGAAACACGACTCGTCTGAAGGGAGCTGCACCAAAGAGTCCTGCTCCAAGGCAACTCCACCCCGTGCCATTAGAAAAGAGTCTGTTGTATTGTCTCCACGACCGAACTGTGTCTTAACTTTAGACTCCAGCCAGAGGAAGTCTGTAATAGGGCTTAACTTGGTCCAAACCCGGTCTACACAAAGTCATATATATGAAAACAGGTTTAAACTACAACAAAACCAGGTGTAAACAGAACATAATAATCAGAGGAAAGGAAAAATTACGTGAATTAAAGCCGCTCCTTTGAGGATCATGAGGCACAAATCTGAACCAAAGAAATAGTTTGAAAGGGGAGATAAAGAAGCTATTTTTGTTAAGAAAGACAATCCATCTTTGGGCAGAAATGGAGGCTCAGACATCGTCTCTCTCCTATTTACAACTCCATCCTCAGACCTAAACCAAAATAGGAAAAACAATAGTTACAGCCGTGTCAGACTCAGAGGTGTGAAGCTCTGCCTGAATGATTCTGCTAATATGACTCAGGCACAGTCCACACTTTGAGCAGTTTAACAGACTGAGCTACAAACAGAAACTGTAAACTGTAGGTGTGTTAGTTTCAGAGTAGTTTCAGTGTAGTTAGCTCCTCTCTTCAGGCAAATATAATTCCGTGTCCACCAGCGTCTGACCAGAACTGAAGAAGCAGATCGGATGAGCTGAGAAATGTTTTCGACCAAAAAACTTTTGTCCAGTTGACAGAATTTAATTTCTCCTTTCTCTTGGATCTAGGGATGGGCATGATTAGTCGACTAATCGATAATTGAGCATTAAGAATTTCATTGATCACTGAATGTAGGTTTCTTTGTGTAGCGTAAAGAGACGAGGCTGCGTCTGACACAAACACTGGAGTCTCACAGTCCCACGTTTGGGCTCTGGCTCCTCAGTGAGTGTGTTAAATGCACATCAGTGTCCCGTAGGGCTGGTATCATTAAGAAGTTGCCGATACGATACATACCTCGATACGCAGGCCACGATACGATACATATTTCGATACAGTGAACTTTCGATTTGATACGATATATTTCAAATTGATTCGATACCGTTCAATAAAAACAATGGCTAAATCACTAAAAGTCTTCTTGTGCAAAGTGAATATGAAACAAAAACATTTTAATCCTCAAAACAATGAAAATGTCAAATAAAATCTAGCCAAGTTAAAATGACTTGAATTAAGTTTTGTCATGATTTGGGTAAATTCCACTTGACAAGTTAAATTATCTATCAGCGGAATATGATTTCTTGTATTTAAAATCTGGAGATACAACTTGCTACACTTAAAATAAGAAAAACAATAACCCTCAAAAATAAGAAATAAAATCGAATGTCGCTTGAATTTAGAAAAACACTTATTCCATTGGTAGAGTCGACTCAGATAAAGTCAAATGTTCTTAAGTTTCATTTTAACGAACCTTTTTGCAGTGTGAAAGAGTTTCCTTCCACTAAACAAGCAACAAAACTGTAGCTGTAACAAAATAATTAAGTAAAATACACCAAAAAATACTCGATATATCGATACAGCAGCCCACGATATCGATACTGTATCATCACGTTAAACGATACGATATATATAGATATTTCAATATTTTTGCACAGCCCTAGTGTCCCGGGTTTGAACGGGTTTTTGAGTGTCCCAGTTTCGTCGCGGTGCATGTAAACACAGTATCCTGAATATTTTGACATAAAGTTGAGTCACCTGCGTCCAAAATACAAACACTTCTCAGTCTTTTCATCACAACAAGAGCCAAAATAAATAAAGTGACCGACATAAATAAAGTGAAATGATGTTAAATAAAGAGCTGCACTCCCTGTGTCACAGAGAGAACACTCATATTCCACTGAGTCGTGTCCTTTAGTCCGACAGAAGCTGAACCGCATCAGCGCACAAGAAAAGAGCTGTTTTTTTTTCAGTGTTTACAGTTTATGCAAATGAGTCACGTGGTTTTAAGTTTAGTTTCCGTAAAACGTAAACAAATGTGTCCAAGCTGAATTAAACACATTATAATGTCAAACGGGCTGAGTGTTTATGGTTTATATGTTGTAAAGTTGAGTTTATTTACGCAGATTAGTAATAGTAATAATAACGATGATACTTTTAATATAAAAACGTCGAATGACCATCCCCTGCTGGACGACTGAGGGATTACACAAACAACACAAACAGAGCTGCATCGGGACTAAAAGCAGATCAAAATTAGAACTAAACTCAGCCTAAACCAGCACAGATGAGTGGTCGTAATGTTATGGCTGATCTGTATAGCAGTATTTTAGTAGTATTTTAGTAGTATTTTAGTAGTACAGTAGTGTCTCTGGGCCGTGGGGAGTCCCTGTTTAAACCTGCTGCGGTTTTCGTTGCAGGTGCAGTTCTTGAATGGGCCTCCCTCCTGAAGACGCTTTATGCTAACGTGCCAGACGACTTCTTTATTTGGATCTCTGAGTTTAGACACAAGCTCGCTCCACTTTTAGAGCGCGCGCTGGACCTGCTCTACTCTCTGCCCGGGGAGGACAAGCAGGAGCTATAAATAAAAAAACGTTTACGTGGACTTTACATTGGATTTAAGCCAGATGCCCTCCCGAACGCTTATGAGTTATTTCGTAAATACCGAGTTTTAAGGAGTTTTAAAAGTGCACTGTGTAACCTTTTTTTGAGAGCTGACCTGTAACTTGAGCTTGTTTACTGCTGTCTCCATGGCGATGTCGACACGCTTGAAGCCGTACCGTTACCGATAAATCTCCATGGAAACAGACCCTCCATTAGAAAAGTTACATAGTGCACCTTTAACATGGATTTTTTTTTTTTTTTTTTTGAGTTTCACATAAACGGTTGAATTAGAACAGTTTTACATGGTTATTGCATTTTGGATTAAGTCAGATGCCCTTCCAGATGCTGTAGTTATGATGTTTGGGTTTCATAGAGTTCGTATATCGGGTTTTTAATGTGGTTTGAGTTTTTTCTATGGATTTTTAGGGACAAGTTTTTAGAGAATTGTTGATATCATTTCTATTTTTAACTTTGGCCATTGGGGTTTATCTTGTTTGACTTTTGGACTTGATGTGGGGGTCATATTTTTGTATTTATTGGGGGAAGTAAACGGTTTGTTTTTGTGTTAACTGAGGCTCCGTTCAGACTGCAGCCCGAAGTGACCAAATCTGATTTTTTTTCGCCCCTGTGCTCCTGTTTCTGATCTTTTAATGACAGTCTGAACGACACAGATCCGATTTTTGTGCTCCTAAAACCGATACATATCTGATCTTTTGACGTGCGACTTCAGTCTGAACGGTCTGGTCACATTCATCCCACCTACACGTCAGGCTCAGAGTCTCGTCAATGGAGGGAAAGCGAGGTTAGAGAGTTTATTAATATTTGGGGGGATCGCTGTGTTCTGGTTAAATTGGAGCGGCCTTTTCGGAACCGGGAAATTTCTGAAATGATTGCCAAGTCCTGGTTAGTCCTGGTTTCTGTATCCAGAAACCAGGACTAAACCAGGACTAAACCAGGTCTACACAAAGAGTAACTCATGTATAAAAACCAGGACTAAACCAGAACGAAACCAGGTCTACACAAAGACTAAATCATGTATAAAAACCAGGACTAAAACAGGACTAAACCAGGACTAAACCAGGTCTACACAAAGACTAAATCATGTATAAAAAACCAGACTAAAACAGGACTAAACCAGGTCTAAACCAGGTCTACACAAAGACTAAATCACTTATAAAAACCAGGACTAAACCAGGTCTGCACAAAGACTAAATCACTTGTAAAAACTAGGACTGAACCAGGACTAAACCAGGTCTACACAAAGACTAAATCATGTATAAAAACCAGGACTAAAATGTTACTAAACCAGGTCTTTACAAAGACTAAACCAGGACTAAATCAGGACTAAACCAGGACTAAACCAGGTCTACACAAAGACTAAATCATGTATAAAAACCAGGACTAAACCAGGACCAAACCAGGACCAAACCATGACCAAACCAGGTCCAAACCAGGTCTACACAAAGACTAAACCGTGTATAAAAACCAGGACTAAACCAGGTCTTAACCAGGTCTACACAAAGAGGAAATCATGCACAAAAAACAGGACTAAACCAGGATTAAACAAGGATTTACGAAGACCAAAAACGGCATTTAACCTGAACTAAACCAGGTCTACACTGGGATTAAACCGGGAATAAAAACAGGAATGAACGAGCTCTGAACCAGGGAGCGATCAAAGTGGATTTACTTACAGGTGGAGACTTGAATATGGGAACAATAAGTATGAGAACCGTTAAAAAACAGAGAAAGTTACATAAAAGGCCTAAACCACGTCTGTGTTACTTTAAATATGAAACTATAAAACTACTCTCTGGTTTGTTAAAATACGTGAATAGATTGTGCTTATCTTATCTAAAAAAAAGGTTAAAGTGACAAAGAGTACGCAGAATAAAGGAGTTGCTGAGGGCTGGAGCTTCTTTAGCAGCTGTTAAAGTTCACATGAAAACAACAAAATGTGCCTCTCCCTCTGCCCTTTGACCTCTGATCCCTGTTACACTCCTTTCACTGACAACGGTTTACAAACGTCTGGTGCATTTGAAGTGAATTTGAATAAATGAATATTGTTTAAAACCCAGATTTTTGTTGTTGGGTCTAGTCACTATCAGAAATCAAGCAGTTTTAATGATTTTGTGAATTATTCTGGAAGATTTTAGCTGTCAATACTGCAATTCCAACTTTATTTCAATTCCAGCTTTGTTGTTAAATTCTCCCTTTTTTTAATTTAAGTACTTTTGTATTTGTCATTTCTGTTTAAATACCTGCTGTGTTTGTCAATAAAATATGATGAAAAAACCTGCAGCTGCTACAGTGAACAACTAATACACACTTCTTTTCCTTCTTAGGATTAGTGCAGGCATTACTTTAATTAGGACGGATCTGATATTTAGATTTTAAATAAGACATTGTGCTTGTGTCTGTTCTGTTGTTATAATCTATGACAACTGTGGATCACTGTGTTATAATTTGGACATTTTAAGTCACAATGTTCATCTAAAACGACGAAAGAAACAAGTGCGCTGATTTCCGGGTTAGAAAACTGTGGTTTCCGGCTGACGTCGCCGTAAACGTCAACAAAACAAAGTGCCGAAGCTGTGGGGTCCTCCTATGGACAGCTGCACATCACTAGCCTGATTCATCAGCCGGTTTCACTTCGTGGAAACCGTCTGACCTCACAGCATTAGGATTCGTTCGGTGGACGGTAGGCGGGTACTTTTTTATTTAACCAATCGCTATTATTTGGCTGTGATGTATGTAACGCGCCGGAACGCTCAGTCGTGTCCAAGTAATCGCCGGCACAACAGCAAACAAAGAAGAGAGTGAACATGTCTGTCAACGATCATTGTCGTCTGCGATGAACTTGCGAATTAAAGGTCTAGGGCAGGGGTGGGCAAACTGCGGCCCTTTAATCTTCTTAATCTGGCCCATGGAACTTGATAATATTCAGTGTTTTTCAAAGTTATTTCAATAAATAGTAAATATCGTGTGATCTGAAAGACAGATATTTTGTTGTAATGCTTTGTAATGATTTTCACTTATGGGATATTTCAATAACATGGGATATATTTTCTACATATCCCATGTAATTTTTTTGTGTTATGAGGTGGATTACCAAAAAAACTCCATCCATTTGCTCGTGGTCCGGCCCTTCTGCCAAATTTTAGAACCCTTTATGACCCCCGAGTCAAAAGGTTTGGCATGGTTTCTACAACAGTGTCCCTGGGCGTGTCACCTGTACTGAATTTTGACAAAAGCTCAGACACAAACTGACATCTGCAGTGCATTCCCTGACCTAGTTGCTGTGAGATGAAATGAAAGTTTTGAAAGAACGGGGCGAACAATTTGTACCAAAATGACAATGAATCGCTGCTGAATCCTCCATATATCATCAATTAATAAAATAAAATTGGAGAATGAAGTACGTCACAGTGGGCGTGTTCTGGAGTCCTGAAATTAAGTGATTAAAGATGACTCACGCGTTCATGAATCACTCCAAATGCAACTCCAGAGGCTCAACGAAAAGGAAACTACTATAACATTGTTTAAAGCTCTGAAAAGTAAAATTTGCTGAATAGGTCTGATTTAACATCCACTGCAAAGACCAAAAAGTACAATATTGGTCCCAAATATCTGCAAATTTTTCAGTATAAGGCTATTTTTTTTATTTTATTCGACTACTGCTATACGTTTTTTGTCATTTCCTGTTTAAATACCAACTGTTGGAACCAATAAATCACACAGACACTTTCTCATGTCTAATCACGGTACAGATTGTGTGACAGTTTCAAGTGGTGGGAGCGCTTGTTTATCACGCTCGGACACGCCTGCTTCAGCACGAGCGCTCGCATTCTTCACATAATCTGAGCCGGAGTCAGCGCAGATCTAAACGTTTGTGGTTTCTGAGCAGAAAAAAAAGACTCTATTGTGTCTCGGACGTATAGATGTGGTTTCAATCAGAGAACTGGAAATATTCTGTACCAACTGGCTGCAACCCACGACTGACCTATAATTACTTAGTGCAGTAGAAATCCTAGGTCTAAACCAGGACTAAACAGGGACTCAGCCAAGTCTAGACTAGAAATAAACCAGGTCTAAACAAGGACTAAACCAGGTCTAACCAAGATGTCTGTGTAATCCCTCAGTCGTCCAGGTATGACCCATAAAAAAAGAAAAAAAATCCATTCTGTTGTCTGGATAAAGGTTTGTTGGATTGAAGACATTTAAGACATGTTTTGTATAATTTCTAATCTTTTTGTAATTATTTTATTGACTTTTTTGTTCCAACTGAATACTGAAAACAAAAAGAAATAAGCTGCCTTTAATGTCCAAATAGGCGACTTATAGATCCTTTTGTTGCTGCTTCAATTCATTGTTTATAACTTGAATAATACTAATTGTTCAGAGAGACAATCACTCAGTCAGCAATAAAATATCATTATTAATGTTCAATAATCATCAATTATTTGGGTCACGAAGGTTTGTGACTTTTAAAATTTGTGTCTCCAGAAAAAAAGGTTTTGGAGACACTGGTTTAGACTCTGCAAATGCAAATGTTACGAAATGCGTGAGATTCTTGGATTGGTTTAAAGTTCAGATTTCAGTCACTTCACAAAACTCACGAGAATCCATCTTGGCGCCCGCTGAACAGTTAATCGGACCAATCACGTCGCAGCTCTGAGCAGTGGGGATGGGATTAAATAAGTTTTCTTCTTCCCACTCCTTTATTAGCAAATTTGTTGTGGTTATTTTTTATTTCTATGAGTTCACTTTCCATTGTATAAGAACTTAAATCTCTACTTGCCTGAAATAAATAAATAATAAAAAAAATAATAATAATTGGTTTGTGCAGAAGCCAAACAAACATGGCGACACAGACAAACATACGTCGGCCTGTTTTAGCGTCAGTACTACAAGATTATTTAGTTGAAAACGTGAAAAAACTGCAAAAGGTAAAAGCAGTTTGTGAATTTGTGGAAGACGTCTGGGAAGATTTTCTCTCAACTGGATTGATCAGATTCAAACAGTCATCGTTGCCGTTCCACATTTTCCACACACTTTCAAACACTGAGCCGTTCCAGATTAATAATGTGTAGAAGTAAATTCAGAGACACACGGATCAGTCTGATGTGAGTCTGATTTGACAATTACGATGCTCGTCAGAAAAAATACAACTTCATATTTTTCAAATAATTTAACACTATGGAAGTAGTAGTAGCACTAGTAGTAGTAGCAGTAGAAGTAGTAGTAGTAGTAGCAGCAGCAGCAGTAGTAGTGGTAGTAGTTTAGTAGTGGTAGTAGTAGCAGCAGTAGTAGTAGAAGTAGTAGTAGTAGTAGTAGCAGCAGTAGTAGTAGTAGTAGTAGTAGTAGTAGTAGCAGTAGTAGCAGTAGTAGTAGTAGTAGTAGTAGCAGTAGTAGTAGTAGCAGTTGCAGTAGTAGTAGTAGTAGCAGCAGTAGTAGCAGTAGTAGTAGTAGTAGTAGTAGCAGTAGTAGTAGTACCAGTTGCAGTAGTAGTAGTAGTAGTAGCAGCAGTAGTAGCAGTAGTAGTAGTAGTAGTAGCAGTAGCAGTAGTAGCAGCAGCAGCAGTAGTAGTGGTAGTGGTAGTAGTAGTAGTAGTAGTAGTAGTAGTAGCAGCAGTAGTAGTAGTAGAAGTAGTAGTAGTAGCAGCAGTAGTAGTAGTAGAAGTAGTAGTAGTAGCAGCAGTAGTAGTAGTAGTCGTAGCAGCAGCAGCAGTAGTGGTTGTAGTTTAGTAGTGGTAGTAGTAGCAGCAGTAGTAGTAGAAGTAGTAGTAGTAGTAGCAGTTGTAGTAGTGGTAGTAGTTTAGTACTAGTAGTAGTAGCAGCAGTAGTAATAGTAGAAGTAGCAGTATAGTAGTAGTTGTAGTAGTAGCAACAGCAGTAGTATTATAGTAGTAGTAGTAGTAGTTGTAGTAGCAGTAGTAGTAGTGGCACCAACAGCAGTAGTAGTAGTAGTTGTAGTAGTAGTAGTAGTATAGTAGTAGCAGTAGTTGCAGTAGTAGCAGTAGTAGTAGTTTAGTAGGAGTAGTAGTAGCAGCAGTAATAATAGTAGAAGTAGCAGTATAGTAGTAGTAGTAGTACTAGCAGCAACAGCAGTAGTATTATTGTAGTAGTAGAAGTAGTTGCAGTAGCAGTAGTAGTAGTACTAGTAGTAGTAGTAGTAGTGGTAGCAGCAGCAGTACTAGTTGTCGTACTATTTATAGCAGTAGTAACAGTAGTAGTAGTTGTAGTAGTATTTAAGGCAGCAGTAGTAGTATTTATAGCAGTAGTAGTAGTAGTTTTCCTTGGACCACACACATCCGAATCAAAGTAATAATCGAGTATCACTTGTAATTACAGCACTGCTCTTTTTTTTTTTTTTTTTTTCTTTTGTAAACTCGCAATTCCCAAACTCTACAACTCCAGTCCGACACCGGCATGAATGAAACTAGAAACCCCGAAAACCTCCCGTCGCTTTGAGTTAGTTTAATTTTGAAAGTCCTACGCCCTGTTTTTGCCGCCGCCCCTTTAAGATGAGTCATAGTGGTTTGTGCCAGTGCGGAGTGTTACATATCAAACGCTGCCATACGGTCCTGAGAGCCACACCCAATCTGAAAACCGGGCGTGAAACCATTTTAATCCTTACATTGTACTTTTTTACAGAGTGTTTAGACAATATTCTCCGTGTTATAACTTTAAAACATGTGGGCGCAGTTTGTGTACATTAAACATGCTTCAAAATCCGGTTAGTCGAGTCGTGTAGAGTCAGTGTGACAGTGTAGGGAGCCCTCTTGTGGCGAAACGTGGGTATAGCACTAAAAAGTTTCACCTGGAAATGAACAGTTGGAGTTTTTGTGTTTTTAATGCGTTATAATTAAAATTCTTGAGGAGTTATGTGTAGGGTGATCAGACTTTTTAAATAAAAAAAAAAACTGGGACTCCCCCGGTTTGGGCGGTGTTCTGCACTAACATGTGTTCTGACTAACATGTGAGTCACTACAGTCATATTTTCTTTGCGTTTTCCGGCATTTTATCTCAACAAATGACTCTTTATGCCTCCGTTTACTGTCGGCAGGGATCAAATTGGTCAAAAACAGGGACATTTGTTGTATAAAATTGGGACAAATCGCTCAAAACTGGGACTGTCTCGAGTAAATAAGATAAGTTACGATAGGCAAAGAACGTAATATTCGTTTTTATCTTTTTATAATCTTTTTGTAGGTGTAGTTTTGCGTCCAACAGATCAGTGCGTGGATGCAAAACTGCTTTCTTCAGCTAAACTCGGACAAGACACAAGTCGTAGTGTTT